CCCCCCCTCTCCTCCACCCCATCTTACGGTGGGGGCATACGTAAAAAGAGTACTATGTTAAAATAGAGTTTCTAAAACAGCTTACTTGGCAGAGAAGTGAGAGGCACAGAAGGCAGAGGCTCAAGTTGACCTAAGGATGTCTCGGGGACCACACGGAACAGGTAGTCTCGGCTTGGACCCAGGCCACGGATTCTGTAACGAGTGTCAGGAATGTCCGACGCCATTGTACGCCAGTCCATACTGGGCGGAGCTTGCATCTGAACTCTGTATCTGAGTGGTCGAGTTGAGTCCAAGGTTGGTGGTTGCCATGTCAATGCGAGGCTGTCGGTGTCGTCATACGACAGTCTGGGAGTGTAGTCCGGTAAAGGTCGACTTGGGCCTGTAAATACAATTATATAATAGATGATAAATTCAGGACAAACTTGTTTGTCTGAGCTGTCCATCCAAACAAAAATATCATACACAGTAAAATTTAATAGTAATATTTGATACACATCAGCAAAGACAAATATCGGTAAACAGAGGTAACACAGAAAAACATGTTCCCAATTTTTGTCATCTGTTATGATGAAGCAGCACTAGGAGGTGGGTTTTCTTGGGGATGTTTTTTTCATAATAAGCTACATGTAAGACATTCCACTCCTTTAGAGTTACACGAAAGATTAAGATTAGCTTGGGCCAATACGTCAATTACATTTTGATTTACAGGCATTTTAATAAAGTGTGTAAGTATTTAACAAATTAAATTAATTATGTGATCCTTGTTGTCTTGAAATGTTATGCAAAACCGTGCACCAGTTATTTAAACAAATATGACAGTATGAAATTGAAACAATATAAAATGTTGGCAATTTATTTTATCTAGACACACATCTGTCAACAGACCAACAGATGGACAGACGGACATCCTTATTCCAGTACGACACCAAACAAAAACTTTGTTCGGAGGACATAGTAACCGATGTGCCACACAAACCTTCGATTAACTTAAGTTATGTTCAAAAAGACTTTGAACAATTTATGTCTGTATTGTGTGCGACACTTACTCGGAAGAGGACGTCGGTACGAAACCGGAAGGGCATATGTTGGAGGACTGATGCCGTAGGAACTCAAAGCCCTAACACGGAACTTGTAATCCCTATCTGGAGCAAGGTCCGTGACTCGGTAGCGCTGAGTCGGAATACCAGACACGACTGGGCGCCAGTCATCGACTGGTTGTTCCATCATCTCCACCATGTACAGGAGTGGCTCATCGTCACGGTGATAGGGAGGGATATTGACCCGATTCCAGGACAAGTTAATTCCTTCGGTGTCAATTTCATGATCGTCAAGCTGGATTCTGTCGATTGGCACTCGAGTTGTAGCTATAGGAAAACAAACGTATCAAATGATATAAGATACATGTATAGTGGATTTGTTTGCTTTGTTGCGATTTAATGTCCTCGCAACAGCTTAAAGATCAAATGAAGACAAGTGTTCAGGGAGATACCAAAACAGACTTTGTGTAGCAACCAAGAAATAAATATAAGGAAAAATACTGCCTTACTGCCAAGCCAGTTTTTCCAGCGAGGCAGTATAACCCTGGGATGCGCTTACTAAGCTCAGCAACATCCAGGGTGGTCAGAAGCTGCAGGAATACCTGTTGGCATGTTACAGTAGGAAAAAGGGAAGCGAAATCACAGAGCTCCTAAGTACATATATAAAGGATAAAGGCTAAATTTGTTTTAAACACAAACAGGAATTGAAAACTTAATATGCAAGCTTTTAAAAATGCCTGTTTCCTTTGTCAAGCAAAGAGCGTAAATAACTGATGTCTCGACTCTGAACCGAATTTTCGAGGAAATGGACGTTTTCGAAAGCTCGTAAAATAAAATTTAATTCCTGTTTGTGTTCAGAACCAACTTAGCCTTTATTTTTCATATAAAAGTGATGAAATTATCCTGAACATATATAAAGGATTTCTAACAAGTTCTAATCACAAGAGATTTTAATGTAATAGGTTTTAGTATTTTTTTTAAGTATATGTGGAATAAGAAGAATTTCGAGATATTTGTTATCACATGCATTACAAATTAAGCCTAAAATGAAATAATATGACTACACCATATTGCAACCTTCCCTTATTTTTGCAGGAAAATCGGTTCAGGGTGCTTGAAAAATTGGCAGAAGGGGGCACTTTTTTCAGATAACAAACAAACACTGTAGTCAATTGTTGTCAAGGTGACAACTATTGAACACACTCCTTGTAAAAATGTTTAATCATTCTCTAACACACTTGGAAACAGTCTTGTCAGATTGCAAGGCTGCGTGAGTGCCTTATATAATAAAGTGTATAAGGTACTCATATTTCGTGAACCAGAGAGGGTCAGAATGGAGGGTATTTAAGAATGGGGGCATATATATATCATTTCAAAATGTGCCCCAAAAAAGGAGGGGCATTACTTACAGCAAATTTGGTCAAGCAAAATTTGAGAGATTGGGTATGGAATTCTGAAATAGAGAATGCCTCAATAAAACATACACAAAGAAGAATGCTTGCTTACCCAAAGTTCTGTACAGAGAAGTTGCAGGCGATGGTTCACTGAGAGGTCCTGTAAGTGACCTGGAGCGAACCCTGAACCTGTAGTCATTGCCAGGTCGAAGGTCACGAACCATGTAGTTTGGCTCACGGACACCCTGGACAATCTCACGCCAGTCACGGCTCGGTGGTTCCTGCATTTCAATCATGTATGTCAGAGGTTCCTCGTCGAGGGCTGTAGGTGGGACATCAACACGATCCCATGACAGCTTCACACATTCTGGCTCGATCTCAACAATTTCTGGTCGCCTGACTGGTACACCAGGGAAGCCTAATGACAAAAGTAATTTGGTATGAGACTGGACATTAGGATGAACTGGACAAAAGGAGAGTCTGGACCTTTGATAAAAGGCAGAGAATTAAGAGAGACTTGACATTAATAGTTAATAATAATTGGAGGTTCTTATATACCGCTTTATCACATCCTAGTTCGTAGGTCGTCTCAAAGCGGTTCACAAATTAACAGAGAGTGGATATTGATTAAAAGAGACCGGACATTACGAGAGACTTGGACATTAAGTGAGACTGGACATTAGGAAGAAATGGACAATAGAAGAGTCTGGACATTTGAGAAAAGGCAGAGAATTAAGAGAGACTTGACATTAACCCATCTGAGATTGTTAAATGTCCATATAGTCACATACCTTCATAAATATAAACTGCTGAAATGACATGAACTAAATTACTTACGCTCATTTCCCAACTGAAATGAGAGACCATATATATTTTATTGTGACAATACGACCATAGAATAAAGAGGTATCCTGCTGCCCTTCATCTTTCACAATACAACTTTATCCTACGTTCTATAGCCTTGATCACCTGACTGCAGACTTACACAAGACTCCCACAGGTTTGGGAGACAGAATCTTCCCTTATCTTTAGAGTATAACAGAGGAATGTTCTTGATTGTCTAACCCAAGGCTTGCTTCAATCCGAGGGTTAGATACTCAAGACTCTCAACCCTTGGGTTGGGATTTCTCTAGCATACCATTACTCGAGGGGATGGTTCTGTTTTTTCTGATCCTTTAAATACTATGTTTGGAAACAAAGGTCTTTTAAATTTATAAAAAAAATATTTTTTATTGTGATTTGCAAACATTCTGTCCAATTGAATGTTAATTGTGATGTCATATTTCATTGTTATCCTGTGCCATCAAAGAGATGTTCTTTTCCACATGCTGACTGTAAAACCATTGGGGATGAGATCAATCATACCCTTATAGGCTACAGAGAAATCTTGACCAGCTCAAATGGAAGACAATTTATTGAATGATGGGAGAAAAGATATCTGGGATGGATCTGTCCTACATTCTCAAGTGCGGGCAATACAGATGTCCCTGCCTCATGTACCTGTTGTTTTTCTGAGGACATTTCTGTTCTGCAACCACAGGTAAGAGAGATATAGTACTAGTTTTTGAACTGTTGCTGATCATGTATTGTATGTATGTAACATATATTGTAAATTCCAGAAATAAAAACAATTTAACCTAAATAGATATTTTATGTGAATGATACTTACTACGGGCTGTGGGCAGCCAAAGAGGTTCGGACGGCTCACTGACTCCATATTTGTTTTCGGCACGAACACGGATGTTGTAGTCATGGCGATCTTGTAGTTGTGGCAGATAATAACTAGGTGTGGACAGCCCACTAGCCATAGGAAGCCAATCAGTGCTCGGCAACTCCTGCGCTTCCACACGATACGAAACAGGAAGGGGCTTCTTGATAGTCACAGGAGGCGGGGCTGGTTTCCATGCCAACCGAACAGCTTCCTGTCCGTAATCTGTTATGACAGGTCTGGTCGATGGCAGTGATGGTGGTCCTACACACAAAAGATACATTTTTCACATGTTGAACTGTAGTGGAACATAATTTTAAGATTTAAAAAAAAAAAAAAAAAAAAATATTACATAGGTATATCTTTCATGACGAATAATGTCGAAAAACCACAGAAGTTGTTACATACGTCACTTTCATTTGAATCTACAATGTATGTAGTTTAGATATATACTTACTCTTGCTTTCTGGTAGAAGAACTTTCTTCTTTTCTATCTTCTCATCTGTGGACAGATAAAATATGTTGTTGTGTAAACAATTGTCGTTGTCTCAAATAAAAACATATTTTTGTATTTTGTACACTAACGGTAACAAACCATTTCTTCATCCTCTATTATTCTACATTCTATTTTATGATGTTTTTTTTAGCAATATATCCCTTTTTATAAAAGACAGAGACTATAAATTATCATTCATAAAGTCATCTTTCAGCTTTCTTTCTTTGAACTCTGGATAAACAATTGTCATTGCTACTCAATATACCCCTTTAAATAGGTTCACGAGTACCCACCGAATTTGATGCGCTCCAGCCTAGCAGGTTGTGTGGGGTCACTCTCACCGAACTGGTTCCCCGCACGAACACGGAAAGCGTACTCCTTATCGGGGTTCAAGTTCTTTGCCATATACGTGTTGCTATGGATACCATCTCCGATCATCTTCCAATCCGCGTCTGGTAGGGCCTTTGACTCAACAAAATATCGTATGTTACGTGCATCCTGTGGTAGACCTGATGTTGGAGCCGGGGCCCACGACAGACGCACTGTATCTGGTCGTGTGCTCTTTATGGTTGGTTCGTCTCGGGACATGGTTGGTGCACGGGAAGCTGATGAATCATAGAATCAACACATACAAGTTCGAAAAAAGGCAGTGTTAAATTTTTAAAAAGAAAATAAAAAAAATCAATATGCAATTTGGCAAAGTATGACATATATCAGAAAAATTATTGATTTGGGAATTTATAGAGATTTTTTCTGAAATGATGATGATTTGAGCTAAATTGAGATACATACAGTCAAGCATGTCTTCCCGGGAGAGGCGTCTGCCCTTGGTGGTCTTGGATGGGAAATCTCGCTCCATGGATTCTTTTGGCTCTAAGAACAACAAATTATGTACATATAATAGCTACCCAAAGAGCAATTTCAATCTGCAAAGGAAACACTTTTGCAACAACAATCCAAGTTGGCAGAAAACACACCACTGCTTATTACTCAGAGTGGTATTTATATATATGTATAATAATTGTGTATAAAGGGTGTGAATTCGTTTTTTGGCAGTGTTAAATTCTCCTGTAGATGTTATGGAGGTAAATGCACGTTTTACTGTTACGTCTTTTTGTATCTTGAACCTCTGTTATCTAGAAACCTTTTTTTTCCCTATAAAAATGTTCCGTGCATACAATGTTAAACCATATATGAGATGCATATATTTGACGACACAAGTATGGAACAATCACCAAACGAAAGGATACTGGGGACATTATCACGGAAAATTTGAAATAAGGCATCAAAGATATTGTCCATCACATCCAAAAACTGCTGAATCCCAAATATCTTCAATTTGACAGATCCATCAATTACAGTAAATGCTGTTTGTTCACAGCACTCTACTGTTAACTATTTAGAGAAATAGAATCACAAACTGTTTTACGTACTGCCAATGCGGAGACTTGCGTTGGTGGAGACCTCGCCAGCAGGATTGGTCAGTGTACAGGTATAAATACCCTCGTCACCAGCGCCCACGTCGTACACCTGTAGGCCACAGTTACCCGCGGAGTCCTGCGACATCCAGTACTTCTTACCCTGGGATATTGGGACACCGTTCTTAAACCTGACGACACAAGTACAGAAATTAGGAATAATCATCAAAAGATACGGATGCTGGGGACATTATCACCGAGTCCTGGGACATCCAGTACTTCTTACCCTGGGATATTGGGATACTGTTCTTAAACCCGACGACACAAGTACAGAAATTAGGAATAATCATTAGAGATATGGATGCTGGGGAAATGATCACAGAAATTTCAAATAAGACATCAAAGATGTTGCTCTTATGCCTTTTGACAAATTGAGAATATGACAAACATTTACATGTAACGTGACTAATTGTAGCTACTATATATATATTCCTTCAGCTTGACGGTCACAATTATGCCAATATACCTCCCTAACGGTATTGTAAGTGGTATATTACTTCTACATTGTTAGATGTTGGTAACATATACCCAAATATCAAACAACAGCTACAGCAACATAGATAGTAGGGAATTCATCAGATATGCTGCACAAGGAGTAATTCAGAGATTGAAATGATAAAAATATGAAGTAATTATTTTAAAGATGAAACTCCAAGCAGATTTCAGAGAAAGAATTGTCTTGTTCTCTGCTGTATACAAAGAAGATGTTCAAGACAACAAATTAACATGCAGATACCATTACAATATAAAAGATTTACATCCTTTCCTTTATCCATTTCATTTTTTGTCATCTCTTGACAAATGTCATCATATAATATACATGTTAGAACCATGCAACCCCAAACAATTAAACAAAGCCTACCATTGGACGGTGAAATAGCAAACAAAGCCTACCATTGGACGATGAAATGGAAAACAGGGCCTACCATTGGACGGTGAAATGACAAACAAAGCCTATCATTGGAAGGTGAAATAGCAAACAAAGCCTACCATTGGACGGTGAAATAATAAACAAAGCCTACCATTGGACGGCGAAATAGCAAACAAAGCCTACCATTGGACGATGAAATGGAAAACAGTGCCTACTATTGGACGGTGAAATGCCAAACAAAGCCTATCATTGGAAGGTGAAATAACAAACAAAGCCTTCCATTGGAAGGTGAAACAACAAACAAAGACTACCATTGGAAGGTGAAATAATAAACAAAGCCTACCATTGGACGGCGAAATAGCAAACAAAGCCTACCATTGGACGGTGAAATGGAAAACAAAGCCTACCATTGGACGGTGAAATAACAAACAAAGCCTACCATTGGACGATGAAATGGAAAACAGTGCCTACTATTGGACGGTGAAATGACAAACAAAGCCTATCATTGGAAGGTGAAATAGCAAACAAAGCCTACCATTGGACGATGAAATGGAAAACAGTGCCTACTATTGGACGGGGTAATGACAAACAAAGCCTATCATTGGAAGGAGAAATAGCAAACAAAGCCTATCATTGGAAGGTGAAATAACAAACAAAGCCTTCCATTGGAAGGGGAAACAACAAACAAAGACTACCATTGGAAGGTGAAATAATAAACAAAGCCTACCATTGGACGGCGAAATAGCAAACAAAGCCTACCATTGGACGGTGAAATAGCAAACAAAGCCTATCATTGGAAGGTGAAATAACAAACAAACCCTTCCATTGGAAGGTGAAACAACAAACAAAGACTACCATTGGGAGGTGAAATAACAAACAAAGCCTACCATTGGAAGCTAGGTGAAATAACAAACAAAGCCTACCATTTGACATTTGGTTCTGGGATTCCCATGATACGACATTCAAACTTGGCTGATTGCCCACTCGGCATGGTCACATCCTCCATCTTCTTCAGGAAAGTAGGCGCACAGCCATACCTTGCGTCAAAGTCCTTCTGGGTAAAGCTGTCAAAGGGAAACAACTCAACATATACTCCAGTATAGATACAGAGGTTGTATGTGTATCAATTCATTGACATCCACATTTGTATTACATCACTTATTCAAGGGATTTAAGATAATTAATATACTCTTTCCTTGATATAAATAGAAAAACAAATTAGAGAACATCATATCAGTACCTATAAGGCATGATTCTTTTATTTTTTATCCTACTTTGACATATATATAATGCCAGACTTCTCAATAACATCTTTAAATTGCCTACATTTTAGTTTCTCCATTAAGTACTGCCAGTGTTTATCATAAAGGGAATGAACTTTTTTTCTGACTGTTTTTTTTCTGACTATCATGCCAATATGAAATTCTCTTGCTTACTTAAATATCGCCCATATGCATAAAATTCCTGTTTATTCCAATACGTACAATAAACTCAGTATATCAATCACTGAATTAATTAGTGCACTCTCTCATAATAACTGTATCTGTGTAAGTGTTAACAATGACACAACTGAAATCCTTGTAATCATCTGAGCGTTTGAATCTCAATAATTACATCCAGACAACCAGGTATTTTTTATATTTACATATTTTTCTTTTTTAAGACATATTCCTACAAAAACCATTGGCCCTGCACGCCTCAAAATACATTTCAGGCGGCCATTTTGTTTGTTTACATATTCCTACACCTGAAACAGCTGGCAGTTGTAATTATAGTCGAGCAGTTGTAATTATAGCCTATATAATTACACTTGGCCTCTAACACTGTTGTAATGGGACGGCGCGGGGGCAAATGTAAATATAACTCTATGTACCTCGGTTCCTCAGCCGGCTCTAACTGTATACGCGACTCCTTCACCAGCAGGTTACAGCTACAGTATACCTCGCCCTCCGAGTTTGCGGCTTTACACGTGAATTTCCCATCATCCTCTAGTCGAACATCACTGATGGTGAGGCGATACATATCCCCCTCATGACTCTTACGCATTCTCCTGTGACTTCCCTGTCAGAAAAGGATACGATTCATGAAGATTTGGTTTGTTCATAAAGGGGTTAGTCTGGTTGTTCAAGTTTAAGATCAAGCTTAACCCTTTCACCACTGTAGACTATCATGGACTCAACCAGATCAATGCATGGTAGAGTTTACTAAAGTTACATGGGGTTGAAAGGGTTAATAATGGTACTTTTCAATGGTTTTAACATGTAGGGGTAATAAAACATTTCAGTAAACAAATTCCAAATTTACTTGGTAGATTTTGTGAAATGAAAAATGGGAAAATGAATGGGTTTTTTTACGTGAATTCCTAAGCTGGGGGCCAGAAGAATTTCTGAAGAATAGAAAATTCCTCTAGGTCCACTACTGAATCCAGTTTCTATAGAGCATCTTCAGTATTTTCACAGTTATGGTCTAGTTGACCTCAGTTTCAAGATGTTCTCTGACTGTAGAAACTTCATACAGTTCAGTTTTTCCTTTAGGAACATCTGCTAAAGCTAAAGGGAAAACATAAAATCAAAAAAATGTCCCTTAACGTTAGCAATGCTTTCCTAATGGCAAAATTTGAATTAAGGAATTTCCTTAACCCTTTCATTCCTATATGCAACTAGTAGACTCTACCATGCATTGATCTGGATGTGTCCATTATGGTTTACATTGGTGAAAGAGTAAAGAAACATTCATAAACTTTGGCCCAGCTGACAAACGAAAATATTTTTGAACTTTTGCCTCCTATTTGTAACCTTGATTTTTGGTTAATGATCGTACCAGCTTAAATAATTAACACATCAACTTTTCTATACATTTCTTAATGTAAAATTATTTGTTTATTTTCCTCTGTTAAGAAGACACGACCACAGGCCAAGATGAAGTTTACGACTTCCAAAGACTATATTCATCATTAAATTTGTTAATACCGAAATAGGCTTGTGGTTGTATAGCCATGTGATCTTTGGTTTCGGCTCCCCGACCACAACAACCTCCAGCTCGAAGTCCTCGTTCGTCTTTGCGGTTACATCGCACAGTTTCTTCAGGAATTTAGGCAGCATTGGTACGCCCTTGATTTTCTTGTCAATGACGGTGATTCCGGCAGAACAACTCGCCTCTCCGAGTCCGTTCTTCAGGAGGCAGGCATACTTTCCAGCATGTTGTTTACGGACTTCCTTGATTTTCAGACTACAGAAGTTAGTTTGGTTCACAATGTCAATATCCGGGGTGGGAAGCAGTTCAATATTGTCCAGCATCCATTGGACGCTCGGTTGGGGTTTCCCGGCAATCATACACTGAAGGTCACATGGTACACCCTCCGTAACAGTCTGGTCGTAAAATTTGGTCAAAAACTTTGGGGCCATGTCATCGTCATCCATGTTGTCATGGAGTGCTATAAATAACAAAACAACAGATATTCATGTTGAAAAAATATTGAAAGAAAAGAAAGGGAAAATAACAGTTTATTTTTTAATTATCTTTCAAGACTTGACTCGAACCCTTCCCTGAATATGTCCATCAGAGTCTGCCTGAATTTTCAGTCTGGTAGTCTGAATAAATATATACTGTCGTAAATTGTGTTTAATTGACCTTTTGGGGTCACTCTATTGTTCGTGACATCATTAATAATCAATTTCATAACATGTCGAGGTCAGATGGGGTCAATGGTATCATTTACAATTGTCATCTGGGCTTCATATGCAAGTGAGAAATTTGCGAACAGTATATCATAGTTATAGCATCGCAAATTATTTTGATCAACCAATCAAATGCCATGTTACACCTCAAATGAATTAGCATTTTCTTTATATAGACTGAGAATCGTTCTCAAAGGCAAACCAACTATGTAGCTTAATGCATAATTATAATCAGGAAGGTGCACTTTTACATTTTTTTTATGTAAGCACTGGCTTTAAAACCTAATTTTGAGGTATAGAATAATGGGGTGTGCTTATAAGGAAAAAGGTAGGTACAAGAATAGGCACGATGATCAAACACGGTTCAGATGTATGAGTCACAATAACTTACCAAGCACATTAAGGTAAGCCTCTGTCATGGCTTCCCCGTACTTGTTGTGGGCCCAGCATGTGTAACGACCCTCGTCATCCGTCTCCACCGACTGGATCAGCAATGAGTAGATCTCGTCGTTAAAGTTCAGCAGCTTGAAACGCTCACCAGAGGTCAGCACCTTTCCATCCTTCATCCTGTCGTGAGAACATTTGATCTTCGAATGAAACTATGTTTAACTGACAGTTTTGATATACAGACAAACAAAGAGTTCCCAATGTATATCGAAAGGCAGAGTGACCATGTAACTTCAAGAATACCTATGTCAGGGGCATTCACTACAAGTTCAATACCCGTCAGAGTTCAACTTCCCAGTCATAATGAGCATCTGCATGCAAGACACCGATATCAGAAATTTTATTATGGAAGAAAATGGAAAGAGCTAGGGCATCAGATTATAGATCATGTAATAATCTTTTGGTTGGAAATTGACAGAACAAGGAATGGGCATCATTTTACAACAGTATGGTATACAAGTCCTCATACAGTACATACAATCTGGTGCAGACAGACACAGGTTTACCTTGGTTTACTGGTGGTAAATCGAGGGATATTTTTTTTTAAAAGATGAATTATTATCCCAAATACAGACATTTTTGCCTGCTGTTTCTACCCTTCCTTATTCCAACCTTTACCCGTAATCCCTTCTCATCTTTTACCCAGCCTACCAGTATCATCCCGTCCCATCCCCTTTCTCCCATGTCAATCATCATGCACTCTTCCCTTTTCACCATATCTTAGCATCCCTCCTTCACTTCCATCTCCCAAATATATCTACCTCTCCTGCATCATCTCTTCTCATCATTACTGCCTACCATCTTTATCTCCACATCAACTTTTTCCTTTCCTTTTCACTCCAAATCCTTACATTTCTCTCCCCCCCCCCCCCCCCCCCCCCCCTTCCATCCTCTTTTTATCTTTCCTTCTTTCCCCTTTCTATCCATTCCTCCTCCACCTAACCACTTCTTCATTCTCTCCATCCTTGTCAACCACACCTACTAGATAAAATACCAGTTTTAAGACAGATCTCTACCTAATACTCCACCTGTTTATCAGTCTCTGTGGTTATCACTTATTTCTCTGTTTATATATTGACTTGAGTAAGTCTACAGGCTCCTGACCAAACAGCAACACATCTTAGACTTGCTCAAGACCATATGTAAGCAAATAATGATACAGACTTAAAGCGGATCTGAACCCTATGTTACACTTCCTACACATGTGTACCCCACCTTCTGTCATAATTTCTTGCATATTGACCGCGAGCTTTACATTTTTCACATTAGAAAATGCCTTCTGCAGGATATCTGATGAAGCAGGCAATATGACGAAATGTTTCCTTGGGGGAGTACTTGGAGTTGCCATGAATAGGAATAATGAATTGTGCCATTTGTAGATTATAGATATATAAAGTAGTTAGGAGAATTTCCATAATAAGCTCACCTTGTATTCATGGCAAACATATTTTCTCATGTAACAGATAACAATGATCATGAACTGAACCAGGTAATCTGCAGAATTTATATCATGAAAATGATATTTTGATGTGTTGGCAATATGCAAGAACTTATTGTAGCTTTTATCAGGTTTAACTCATTCACCCCGTGAAATTTCATAATGAACTATTCCAACTTTTGAATTGGAAGAGTTCAAATGTGTCTTCGGGGGTGAATGAGTTAAGACGTATCTTCACCTAAGCCTTAATTCCTAACACTCCACACCTACCAGATAATATCAGGTTTAGGATAGGCCACCACGCGGCAGTCGAATCGGGCTAACCGGCCCTCTTCCACTTGGCAGCTCTTCATCTGGAAGAAGTAGGCGGGTGTGCGGAACTCATTGTCAGGGATGCCCTCACGGTACTTCAACAGGTCAGAGGGTCGGGCTAGAAACCGAAGGGAAGGCAACATGCACAATGCTGAATAGTTTTCTCACACAGTGTCAAAGACAGATGGATGTTTCAGGGAGAGGCAACATATCATTTATCATCATAAATCTCCTATACCAGTAATATTATTTCCTGACTGTGGGATCGCGAAGCGATTCTAATTATTTGTGTGTCAAAAATTCCAAGTGAGTACATCGCAATTGATATTTCTCTAGGAAATTAATGCACATTTAGAGAATTAATAATTAGTTCCAAAATAGCTAGATAACACGTTTTGATATATGAATTTAAATTTGGTATCAGTGATAAACTTTTCTCATATATCTGCATTTTAATTATGCTACATGATACAAAATGATTTTCTAGGAAAATATTTTGACGCAAGTTATATAAAGTCAGTTGAAAAAGAGTTTAGGGCTGTTACAGGAAAAGGATTGAGGCATTTAAAGATTTAAAGAATTCATGAATTAGAACATGTATTTATTAAGTACACATGTTGACGTGTTTAAATCATGCTCCACTGGAATCGAGATATATTTCTTACATGAACACGTCAGGTGACAAAACACAAACGTTTACAATACACATCTACAAGACTCAGTTATTTATTGTTTTAGGTTAATGACATCTAAGTCAAATTTCCGACTCTTCAGACCTTTTCTTCCTTTTTTTCTCTCTCAAAATGTTACAATTTTTCAGAAACTTATTAATTATTATTCAAGATTAATATCTGTAAATGCATGATTGTTATTTCATTTACATGAAATAATTCATCATTTTGAAAAATATCACAGACTCAAATTTGACCTTACTGTGTCATTAACATATAGGGAACGTTGATAAGACATGTCCAGTACAACATAATATATATTGACTTGGGGGGAGGGGAGAGATATATATACACTCTGGAATTAAGTACATGTAGGGTTAAGGTATTTTTGGTCACAATCTACATACCCCGACGTAAAACTTCTGCATTCACAGATGTTGGAAAAGAGAAAGTGGGAAAAAATTGTGCTGCATTCGTAAGGATCATTCATTTTGTTTTGGTGGGGTTGTGTTTCTTACAAACCACAAAATGTTTTTTGTTTCAAAATCTCACATTTCTCTTTTTCCTGAGCCAATCAAGTTTAACTGGCCTTGTGTATATTTTTATCCTCTTTTTCCTTCAATTTGTTGCACACAATATTGAATATAATCTAGTGTTTGAAAGATATTTTTAGATGGAGGATGTTGATCAATACATGATGGTCAATTAATTAGTATAATACCTATGTATACTGTTGTATTGATCACCTGTACTGTTTTATACAGAAAAAAAATGGAGGTAACCTTGAAGAAAATACATTATATCAGCTTTTAAAAAAAATCTCTCACAAGCTTAAAGCTTTAACACTGAAATGAAAAAATAAAAAAACAGAAATGAACTTCATGTACAATAACTCAATTATTTTCATGAGAGATTAATTTCTGTGTTTATTCCAGAGGGCATTCATTTGCGAATTTAAAACATTTCGTTAATAACATGGATAAATTATTACCAATACTGAAATAGTATCCTTTCACTTACGATTTAATAAAAAATAATAACAAAACCTATAGGACGGGATCATGAAAAAAATTGTACATAACGAAATAAATGATTTATAATCAAGTAACATTGGTTTTGACTCCAAAAGTTTGAGTCACCAACATTCAAACATTCTGATGACATATCACTCACCTTCCCCGACATACAGCTCAGCAGTGCTGATGGTCGAACCATTCACATTCATCGCTCTGGCCGTGTAAACGGCTGTGTCGTCTGAGCGTGCTCGCGGAAACTCGAGGATGTTCCTGTCGCCATCGACGATGACCCGACATCTGTCGGTGGCCATGAGTGGCCTGTTATTCTTGAGCCACAGGACTTTGGGTGGCGGTATTCCAGCAACAACACATTCCATTTGGGCAGAGGCTCCCTCTGGTAACAGAATATACAAGTAATGTTACAAGCAAATCCAAGGTCGCACAGGTACCAAACGAAGTCAAGGTCAAGCTATATACACATACAAGGTCAATATATTGATCCAAAATTTCAATTTCTATTTAATCCTTTTATTGTTTTGAAGAATACATAAGTATGTATACTGTCACAAAATTTTGAATACAGATAAACAAATAGGACACAATGTACAAAAATGCTTTCAAATATTTTAAATTATTGCCTTTGAATAATATTTAAAACTCTACTGATTTGCCCTTATTTAGCATTGGAAAATCATCAGTTATTTGTGCGGGCATCTTTCAATAATACATTAATAGAATTAAATCTACCATATCCTTGGATTCATACATACAAAAAAAAAATCTTATGTTCAAGGTAGAAAAGGAAAAAATCATTTTGTGCAGATGTAACAGTCAATTATAAGCCAATTTATTGTCTAATTATGACAGATATTGACTCATGTGAGGCAATGTAAATAAGGCTCTATCGTTACAAAATGACTAATCGATGATGTTGTGTATCTTTATATTCAACACATCTAATCGTAAATTACAAACCTTCCACAACTGTTTTCTCAAGTTTGTTCTGAAACACTGGTCGAGAAGTTCCATCGTCAAACTCCGGCTGGACGTACGATGTCTCTCTACTTGTGTCCAAAATGTTGAAATCTGAAATGCCAAATGAATATTGTTTTCAAACACTTATTTCCGGTCTACATAGATGAGACTTAAGTGAAGCTTATAATAAACAGCATCTACTTGAATATGTTGGTCATAGCCGGAGTTGGCCTGATTGTTCCTAATGACCTATCCTGTGTTGATGGGCCGTTAAGCATTTAATAATAATGATAACAACTGTAATACGTTTTGATAAGACACCATATTTAAGAATGGCCAACAGCTATTCTCCTAATGATCTGAGGAGTTATCAACAAATGTTTCTCTCCTACCAAATAAAAATAAAAACAATTTCAATTTTGCATTACTGGCATAGTGAACCAGTCATAATTCAATACTATCTGAGTTTTGGCATATGAGTTAAACCCGGTAAAAAGTTTCTGTGAACTAAAACAAATTCTTTTGAACCAAAAGCTTCATAAACCTGAATTTTACACATCAATTCTGTGTAAACATTTCCTCTAAATTAACCATATCAATTTTCAGACTAACATCTTGTCTATATTCTAACAGACAGTTACATAATCTGACTTGTCAAGTTTTGCTTAAGATCTACACTGTGTAATACTGGAGAGTTGTCTGCCCCTACCATCGAAGTGGCCGTCAGATTCCACGTCCTCGGCCCGTACAACCTTACTGCCCTTCCTTGGTGTGGAGCTCACCACCTTGTGTTTGGAAGTCTTTATTTTTCTGCGTTCTGGCATCTTGGATTTTGCTGTGTTCTCCACACCTATAAGAACACAGAAAACAGGTCTGAAATTTGTGAATATTTTCATCACTTATTCAATTTCCCATCTTGCTTATAAAAATAATAATAATAATTCCAGGTTCTTAAATACCACTTTATCACAATCTAGTTGGTAAGTCATCTCAAAGCGGTTTACAAATTATCATTCGTGGTTATAGGGCCGTTGCAACCAGCCAATGTCTTTCTCAACTCCCATGGGAGCATACAGCCGTTGCTGCCATTTTGGCGCTCACAGCTAGCATTCAACAATTCTAGCACTGCCCAACCACATACTCATTTACAGCTGAGTAGACTGGAACAAGCAGAGTAAAGTATCTTGCTAAAAGATACAACACAGTACCATACCGTGACTCGAACCTGCAACCCTTCAGTCACGAGCCAGGCATCCTACCACTAGACTACTGTGCCTCCTAAGTTTCATCATTATATCCCTTAAATTCTTAAACAATTGTTTCACCACATAACATACTTCATCCTTATCAAGATTACAGTTCATTCTTTTTTAACATACTGCCAAATCTCTGTATTTTGCCATAAATATATTTTAAGCGCCATGCTTTTTCCATAAACAAAACTTTAACTTAATCAAAATATCTGAATTAAGATGCTACATGAAACTGGAGACAGAGACATGATTATACCAGTACAAGATACTTTAAAGTAATAATTCAAGTATCACTGAAAAAAATGATATTATCATGACTATATCTAAAATTTTCAAGGTTTTTATTTTATTTTTTACAGTGAAAATAAGTTTGCTGGCAAAAGTTGCAGCACAAAACATAGTATAGGTACATGTATGCATAAAGAAAATCCTATAAATTACCAGAATGTTAAAATCCTAAAAGACAGGAACTTTTGAAAACATAAAAAGTTTAATAGAAATCGGAGAAATGGAGAAATCAAGAAGACCTGATCAGGGCCCATAATCAGGAAACCGTTATCATGCTCCAGCATGGATTTTGTGCTCAAACTAGCCTACTTGTAACTCACTTAAATCATGTCACATGATCAAAAAGGCAAATGTAAACATTTAAAAAATTATTCAGCTTTAGGTCTCTTCAAAGAAAAAACCAAATCATTGACAAAATCAAATTTAACTTTGATTTATAACTGGAACAAAAAATTAAACTTGAGCACAAAATCCATACTTGAGCATGTGGACTGAGTTTCATTGGGCCAAGGGTCGGTATTCATGAAAACATTCTTGTGCTCAAGCATGGATTCTGTGTTCAAGGCAGCTTTCTTTTAACACACGTCAATCATGAAATACGGTCAAGAAGTCCTGTGTAATCCTTTAAAACCATATTCGGTTTTAAGTCTCTATAATTTTTTTCCAGATTCTTACCAAAATGTGTTTTGTTCTTAATTTATCACAGGAACAAGATATTGGGCATGAGCACACAAACCGAGTTTGAGCATGAAAACGGTTTTATGAATATGGGCCCAGAATGTTATTTTTACCAGAGATTAGAAAATGGTACCCGCAGAACTGTAGATGAATACTCAATTGACTATATACTGTCCAGTCAATAGCAATTAAACCATTAGGTTTTGTCTGTCCATTGATTAAGAAAACCAGTAATCTCTCAAATTATAATAAGTAAAGTTTTATTCCCAAAACAGACAAACACTTATTGACCTTCCCCACTGCCGATAACAAGGTCAGGATACCTGATAAGGTTTGGCTGCAGTGCCAGCTTGATAGGAATTCCAGCTTCTGAAGCATTTGTACATCATCTCTAGAACTCGGGTATCAAACGTCCTTAGATACAGCAAAGTCGAACAACAACGAGATAGGTATCTGCTAATTGGGAAACAACTCCCTGTAGAACCGTTAATGCCTACAGCTAGACATCTCAACAAACGGTGGTCTTCGTTCCAACTACTTTCCGCACATATTGACTAGCATTGGCAGAGAAATAAGGTCAAACAGATACCATCAGATAGAATTCCTTGAACACAAGCTCAGAACCCTCAGAAATTTAACAGATATACCTGAAACCAGCCTTTTTGATCTCTGTATTAATTTTCATACGATTACGATATCATTTTCTTTCAGTTAAACCAGTATGAACTAAAATAAGAGACCACCTAATTGGAAAGTCAAATGAGTGGTCTCTTAACATAGGCAGTCTCTTAACTAATTTACCCCTGAAGACACATTTGAACTCTCCCAATTCAAAGGTTGGAAGAGTCCATTATGACATTTCAGGATTGAATGAGTTAATATAGGTTTAGTTTCCAAAGAAATAATGATAATGTATTTTAAAAGACACTTAAAACGCATTTAATAAATAGAGTACAAACACACTCGTAAAACACAGCAGACCTAATTTCTCTGATTGAACAGGACACTTAAGACCAATGATACAACAGAATAAATTTGCTGCAGTCCTGTCATGGTGTGTTTTATGCATTTCCTGGCAGGACCTGTGTTTGTATAAGTGTTTCTCCTGGCAAGTCTCCAGTCCAATACCGACATCAAACATCACTATGTGTGTTACCGCCCAATGTCCGCAATTTGTACAAACACCCAACTGACAATAATGTGTGCAGAATCTATCGGGCAACTATGTATATGTCTGTTAGAAGTCAAGGTCACCTGTTGTGAAGTGAAGGTCAAATGTTACAATGTTGGCCTGGTGAAATAGAATCCATTTGTACACATATCATGAGTAACCATTCACTGTCTTGAAATGTTTGTCAAGGTCATTTGTAAGAGAATTGAAGGTCAAAATGTTAAGATGACCGCTACTCAGTGGTTGTTGAACTAGAATAAGAAGTCTTTCCCAACTTTGGGATAAAACACAACCCAAGGGGTCAGATTGGTGAGGAAGCCATTTAAGAATCTATCCTACAGAAGGGGTGATATTTTTTCTGCTTTACCCCCAAAGATGAAAAAATAACTTTTCTCACCCTTCAAATATGTACAAGCATTGATTGCATGATTTTCCATCAAGTCCAATTAATTTCTTTCAAGGTATAGTTGAAGCGACAACATATCAATTGATTTCATGATGTCACGCCATTGTCTTTAGCGGCTCTAAACCTGATGGATACCCCTGTCTAAGGTGGCAGGATGTACAAAGCACATGCATGCATCTGTGATGTCTTTTCAGGAAGTCAAGGTCATTTAAATGACTGATGAATGTCAAAGAGTCCAAACATTTTGCTGAATTAGAATACATCAACTTACCCGAGATATGTACAAAGCAGCTGTATGTCAACATCACCTCTACGGAAGTAATTACTTTGTTAAATTTGTGTGGACATTTTGGAAAGCCATATGGGTTCTGAAGTTCAAAGATTTCAGCCATGACAAAGGATATTTATTATCCATCAAGAGTATAGAGCCCAGGATACGATTCTACGATTCTGGGGAAGGTCATGAAAATTACTTTGAAACATTAATACCCTAATTGTATGGATACATGTGTGGCAAAAGACACTGAAAGACTGATGTCTAAACGAAATATCATTCGACTAGACAGGTGAAAATCCATTTGTTACACAAACTTATATTTTTGCTGTTCTAAAATAACCTTTTTATGGCAGAATCTCACATATTTCCTTAGATTTTTGCTAATTTGCTACGTTAAAGTTTATTTATCCTTAAAGTTCAGGTAAAAAAAAAAAAAATAGACTTCATTCATATAATAAAATCAGTGACAATTCATATCATTAAGGTTGCGCTTTCCACACTTCAACACTGTTTATAACCACACTTATGTTACATGTATATAATAAAAGTCTTCTTCTCTAGAATTCCAGTAACCCCAACACCGTTATAAATTAGCTGGTTTATTGCGTCTTACCGCCTTCATTTCCCACCCACAGCAATCGGAAAATGTTAAAAGTCTAAAACCTGGCACAAGAACTACAGTTGTTAGGTAAAGTTGAGACAGATACGAATAACAGATGCTGTATATTCTCTTCAGTCGAGTGTACTCTCTGTCTCGCCCAATTTCGTCAAAGTATTGTTAGCTTTATCAATAGTTTAGTCACATTTAAAATCTGAACTTTTTCCTTAATCTACCATACAATAAAACTGTTTTCACCAGTGTATTGGTCCAAATGTTATTATATAGAGCTTCTAGAAATATATATTTAGAATGGTAGCAATTCTATTGAAAAACTTGAATGAAAAATTTGTGAAATTAAAGTTTTGTTAAGCTAATCATGTGATGAGATTGACTTCAGGAGAAACAGCATGTTAAAAGCTTGTGTTGCCCCTTCCTGAAGTGGTTCTGGAGTTTTTACATTATGTAACAGCTGTTGTTTTCTACGTTAGGTAGGTGTTTTTGTTTGTTTGTTGGACGTTTTTCCCCATTTTATCAGAAACCTGTTACAATTAAATTCCATGGCAATCTTCGTTAAACATTTTTGCTGGGAGAAGATAAGAGGTTGCATGTGTCCTCTAAACAACCTTTCATCAAACTTTTTACCACACAAGAATGATGTTAAATCAGGCTACTTATTCTATCCCTTATCTAAAATGTATACAGTATTTAGTTCAAATAGCTATATTTTTTTCAAATGAATCATCAATTAGAATATCAACTATCTAATAAAATCTATTATCTTCATTTAATTTCCAAACAATTGATGATGTGGCTATTATCAAAATCACGTTTCTGTTTCTGTTTTGGGCTCTCTCTTAATTTTTTTTAAAAAAAACAACATTTTATAAGAAATTTTAAAAAAGATTACTGATATATACAGGTACAGCTTTTCACTATCAGACTTTAAAGGTGCCTGTTTAAAAGTTCAAAAAGATAAGAGTAGGCACTAAAGCGTAAGTCTAGGTAGGGAAAGGGTGAAAACAGTCCTTTTTGGCCTAACTAAAATGTAGACGAGCAATATTTAAAGAAATGATGCAACAAAACAAATAATATCTACCTACAGTTAATACTTCGAATTTTAGGGGTTCATACTTTTAAGTTCTATTTTGATCTGCAAAATAAATGGGTGCACCACCC